CCCCAAAACCCCAAAACCCCAAAACCCCAAAACCCCGTTCTAAAATAGAGCTATTGAAACCTTTAGTATTCATTTTTTCAATTAAAACTCTTCAACAGTCATATTAGTCATTCCGTTCTCCTCTAAAATTGATTGAGCTTGATCTCTAAACATTCCACAGTCACTCAAATAGATACTAACTTATCTATTCTTAACATTCTCCACTTTCGCTAGTCACTTGACAATATTTTTAAACGGTTCTAAACCATGTAGGTTCCAATTGCTATAACTTCTGCTCCCAGTGAACTCAAAATCAATCTTAGTGAAAGCAGCTTGGTCAAGTCTGTGTCCAAAATCCACTTCCTCCTCAACATCTATCTTGCAGGCACAAAACCTGATGCAGTCTGCCTTCTGCGCAGCCACTAGAAAGTCTTGGAACTCGGAGCTGGTGTTGTCCATTGGCAGAGGTCAACTCTGGAGAGGATGAAGGGGAGGGTCTTGATCAGAGCGTCAGTGTAAGGAGTTAGTTCAGGGCAGGAAGAAGTATTTCACATTCTCGCTCAGAGCATTGACCAGGAACTTTGACACCAGCTCAGGCTCTTCGACGTGATAAACGCACTGTAGAGTAAGCAGTTCCAGGGGAGGCAGTCTGAATCACTGCAGAGCCTTCAGTAACCCTAGGTCAGGAGTTTTATTCACACTAATTGTAAATTCTGAGTCTTCATTGAATGAATCCGAAGACTTCTTCATGGCATTGTGAATTGCCTTTAACCCAGCGTGGTCGAGAGTGTGCTTGGACTGCTGCAAAGTGTCTTTGAGAGTGAGGATCTCCTGCTTCATTTCTTCGGCCTATCTGTTGTGTTGCTCTTGTCTTCCTTCAAATGTTTGGATCTGTTGGGTGAGGTTGTCGATCTCCAGTTGTCTTTGTGTGGAGACTTTTGCTTTGGAAGGGATTAGTGATAAGAGTGTTGAAGTCTGAGTTGTCTGATCGAGCTCTTCCTTGTCTTGCTCCAGTCTTTCCAGCTGAGTGTTCTTCTCTCCGTCTCTCTCAGTTGCTCTTCTGAGGGCTTCCTTCAGAGGGTTCACTTGCTCAACAGTGATTGTTTGCTAATTTCTTGCACTTTGGCTCTGACAGCTGCCTGAGACAAATGGTAAGTCATAGAATCTTCGGATTTATACTCTTTGAACTCTCTCCAGTGAAGCTGTCTATTGAACTGCTTCATCAGTTTAGAGTCAAAAATTGAGTTCAAGAAAGTCTTGACCTCGATTTGGAAGTCAACAAGCTTGTCCCGGTATCCGTTGGTCTAGATTATATCGAGTTCCTCTAAGTATGGTTAGCTTTTATACTCGAATAAGCATAAAGAAGAGTTGCGTGTTTGATGAACAATAATAACTTCATCAGAAAATTCATATTTTAAAATGAGTTTTACTACTATCTGTTATTAAGAAGATAAAAATTAAAAATACTGAAGCTCAAATTTTTAGCGATACTTACCTTTGAGGGTTTTGCAGTTTGTATTAAATTCTTCAAGCTGAGGCAGCACTCTGTCCCATACCTCATCAAGATTGTGTTCGTTCCTGAAGAAGTCTATCTTTTTGAGATTGCTCTGGGCTTTAAACATCATTGGAAAAATATCGAAGAAATCTAATATAACTAATTAGTCTTCAAAAGAGTAATCTCAGCACCATATATCTGGCTCCTTACCGTAGTTGAGGCACTCAATGATTGGGTCAATCTCGGGGATGGGCTCTGAAACCTGGTCAGAGAACTGAGTGATCATGTACATCGAGCAGACAAACAAATCTTGTTTGAAAGTGTTTGCGTCACTCTTTCTGATAATATATGAGATCTTCTCTTAATCCGAATAGGATTTGCACCTTGGCATTCCTTGAATCATATTTATTATTATAAAATGATTTTATTTTATCTCTTATATATTTAATAGGGGTTTTGGGGTTTTGGGGTTTTGGGG